CCCCCCTTCCCCCCCGAGTAGGCGGGAACGGGGCTCTCTGCAGGGACAGGAGCACAAAGACGGCCATTACGCTCCGGGCACAGACAACCGAGGAGAAAGCGCCGTAGCTAATCAAGAGAAGAGAGCCCACTGGTTTCAAGCCATTACACTGGAGAAATGTCTGCCTGAGCGGAGCGTTTGGACTGCGCTGCAGATGAGCGCACAGGCTACAGGCTTCACCTCACGCAACCCCAGACAGGAGAGGCTCTCTGCCAGTCGGGGACGCCAGAATACATCTTGTCAGAGCGCAAGACTGTGGAGGATGATGATGATGAGGATGATGATGGAGCCCTCTATCAAAAGCTCCTCCCTCCCTCCATCAATCTGACGCAGCGCCGGCCCCAACAGATGCCACGGCGCTCACCTGCGGCGCTCTGCCTCCAACAGCAGCTGGCCGAGAGCTTCAGAGCTCCACAACAATGTGTGAGGGGGAACAAAACAAAACAATGAGACAATGAAGCTCCAGAAGCCCTGCTATGCAGCAGAAGAGAGTCGTTTTTATTGGGAGTGATGTTCTGCTTGTGTGACTTCCAGACAAGAAGGAGGGAGGACTGAGCAGATTGTGCTTGCATGACTGTGGGGATAAAGTGTTCAGTAGAATTACTCACACACACAGCAAACAAACACTGGAGAAAAATCCCTCCCCAGAGAACAAACAGGTTTGGAGGAAAACTGCCGTAGCAGATACAAGACGTCATTACACAGCAATATTTACTCATGACTGCAATCACTGGAGGATGCTACCGTCAGGACACACAGACACTGTACACCTGTACACATAATACAGGCGGTACACTGATAATGGTGTCCATTCATAAGGACAGAGAGCAAAGCATCCAGAGCTTCAGCTGAGGACCATTGTTGAAACAACTAGAAGTTATTCTTAGAGACACATTTGTGTTTGTTAAAGGTCCAGAAATGCACGTTTCCTGAAATTTTCAAACTTTTTATTGAAATCTCATCTAATTTCTGGGAGTAAATGTGAATAAATCTGAAATTTAAACATTAAAGGTCAGCTCTCAATGTGGGTCTTAAATACAGTTGGAGCAAAAACACATTTTTTGCATAATTCCTCCAGCACAGTGTGCCATACTGTAGGACCCTGTTAACTGTAAGCATATCAAGGCCACACCGATGAATAAGCTGACATAGAAAATGGAGGCCTGGGATCCTGAATCAAAACAAAAAGCAGACCAAAACCTGATCCAGGCAATAATAACCCATAAGAACGCGTTGAGAAGTTGTTTTGGCTCAGAGATCAGGCGAAGGTTGAGTTCAGTCATTTGTAACTTTGAATAGATTTTCTGCTTCTCCACAAGGAGCCTTTGAAGTAGTCAGGTCATCTGGTCCAGAAGCCGCCCGGTCACCTCCCACGTGAGATTGTTGGAAGCCCATTTGATCAGAAGGAGACTGAGTCATGACAGAGTCGAGAGATCAAGTCTCTCAGCTTGAGGAGACTGGAACGTCTCGGTAAAGAGCCGGAGGAGGCGGCTGAGGAGTGAGAAGTCTGGGCAGCTTGGAGGGAAGCATCAATGCTAAACAAGATGATGGATATAGACTTTCAAAATCTAGACTTTCACTTTGAAACTTAAATGGGTAGTTTGGTTTAAGACGAATGGGTCAGTTTAATTTGGACCCCTGCTAGCTTGATAAAAATCAGCCAGTTGTTCTATACTTTGCTTTGTGCAGAGAATCTGCTCTCTTCCTGGAGGAGTGGACTCTGTTGAGCTTTTAAATTTTACCCAATTGCTAACGTTTGTCCTAATGTGCCAGTTCAACGCTATGACACATCCAGGAAATGTCCTGTACTGTAAACAACCATCCTCCACTGTGAAGAGAGGAGTGCCAATCTGAACAAGGTGACCGTAATGTTTATTCAACATTTGGAAGCGTGACCAACACAGACTGAACAGCTTCGTTCACTTCCTCCGCTACCAATGCTAAAACTACAGGCAGACTACAATTCTAAGAAAAATAAATAAATTTAAAATACAGAAAACCGACATCATCGTTCACCGATTTTCCTAATTGAAATTCTGCAGGACGAATCCTAGTGAATGGGAGAAAATCCAGACAGCACACTGAATTGAGATGAATTGTGTCTTCTTGAAGTTATGTACAATTCAATCTGCCTAAATTGACAGAAGATTAAGCAAAAAGTGCCAATGACAGTGATGGATTCTTTTATTTTTACCCAAACTGCAGCTTTTATAAAGAATGACGAAGATGGGTAAACTCTTTTCCAAATATGGTGGTGAAAACTGGACGAAAGCACACGAAACACTCAACAAAAAGCTCTGAAATCAATGAGCTGACCTGCTGATGTGTGTATAATCCAGTACTAACTCTGAACAATGGAGGCAGCGTCACCTCCAGCTTAATTCACCATCCTGATCCGCAGCACTGCTGGGATTACAGCACTCAGCCGAACACACTCCTAGACAAACACGCAGACGCTATTTGTTCAGCAGACACAATAAACCTGAGGAGACACACTTCACCCACATCAACGCATCCCAAACTTCCACAACCCGAATCCACAGGGACGCTCTCCGTCACCGTCCCAGGTGACCTGGAGTCTGTGCGTTCTGAACCGGCGTGCCGTTACAGAGCAGATACTGTATGGCCGGCCACACACACACACACGCACGCAAACACACACACACTCCTGCGCACGACAGGAATGACTGCCCCCACACATTCACCAGCGTGAGTCATCCAAAATTTACATTCAGCTTCTGTTTCAGCAGCAGAGGAGGAGGTTCGGGCTTCAGTCCTCTGCCGTTGCTTCTGAGAGTTAACGGTCCAACAAACAGGAAACAAGGCAGAGCCCTCCTCATGCAGGGTTACTGGACGATGCCTGGAATAGGTGGGAGCAAGGCAAATAAGGATGCTGGACAGACTTTATTTAAATCTGGACTCCCAAAACACGACCAGATTATACTTTTTTTTTTTTTTTTATAAAAAAAATAATCTATAAAAGACACACTCTGGCAGAGTGACCATTACCATCTTCTGCAAAATGTTACTATGAAAACTTCTTGTTTGAGATTTGGCTCAAATTAATAGATACTGAATACTGTAATTTTTGCAGTAGTCATGAATATTTTAATCATATTTATTTAATCATTGGAAACTGGGCCAGTAAGGTTATACAACCAGTATATCCCATGAGTACAGAGTGTTCTGCAGGATGATGTTGTGCAGCTAACGTCTCTGATCCCCATCTTAATGCTGCCTGATTTAATTGCTGATGTTTGCCAATGTCTCACCTCCCTCCAAGGAGAAACAGACATGAGTGTTACCTAATGGGAGCTGGCACCTCTGCGCCTCTCCATCCTCCACGCTTTTAATGAATTAATAAAGACCAGTTAGTTTCTCCAAACACGGCTCAAAAACACCCCTGGGGAGGAAGAGGAAGGGGGAGCTCGGCGCAGCGGCACCAAATGCCATGCCGGTGAGCATTGAGCCGTTACCATCAGACGCCAGCAGGGGGTCAAACTGGCAGCGGCTCGGCTGCCCATGACAGGAAAACCTTCCCCACAACCCCTAATGCTGCATCTGTTGCATATGCATGGAGGCATTTCCTGCAAACTGTAGGTAAATAATAGCTAAATGTTATCATTACCTCCATTACTTTAGTTATTCATGCTGAAAACGGTTCTAAAAAAATAGCTGCATTTAAAATGTCATTTTTGTTGTCCTATAAAACGCTGAAAGATATCAGAAGTAATGCAGAGATGCTCCAAATCAACTGGGATCAGCTCAGATTCGTTTGTTCTTATTGGTTAAAGTCAAATTAAGAAACCAAGAACTTCCACCATACCCAATAGTAAAAAATAAACAAATGAATACATTTTGATCCAGACAAATCATGTCAAGAAACAAAACTATCAACAAAAAAACCCTGATTGGTCCAATTACATTCTTCAGCATCAAACCGTTTTGACTTCATATCCCAAACACCCTCCAAAGGTCAACACATCTTGGGACTTTTACTGAAATCGTATTTCCATTCAGATGTATGCTGAAATTACTCCCATTTTTATCTCAGCAGCATCATTGCATAACCAAGCAAGCTGAGGAGGAGAACCCAGATATACCACCACCCCACTCCCCCTACCCCCCACACGTACCAGGAGCTCTGACTGTCTGCCCGGAGCCGGTCGGAGTGAGGAGGCGTGTGGAGCAGCGACAGCTTTCCTCACATCATAACAGAAACTTGTCATCTTTCCATGTCTGAGATCTGCATCATATGGGGAGCTGAGTAAAGTGAGAATCAGGAGAAATGCCTCGCGATCACAAGTCCTGCTCCCTGCTTGAGTTGGAGCTCTGTGTTAGAGGAAGCAATGAAGGAGCAGAGGAAGACCTGATGTTTTTTCCAGACAGAACATCTCTTATTGTTACCAAATAAATCCCTTTCTGCTTTTCCAAACATAAAACAACTGAGGAAATGAAAACTGGAAGGGTTCTTGTTCAGGAATTCACAAAATTCAGAAATCAGGTAACTTTAAGCAGATAACTGAGCAGGAGTTTTCTGTGCTGCTCTGAAATATGTCGAACTGAGCTGCCCTGAAGCATCCTGTCACCGAGGAGGTTTACTTTTTTTTTTTTTTTTTTTTTTAAACTAAAAATCTTCCAAAACCAGAAGCACATCAGGGTTAAAATATTACACACAGCAGCAGCCGCATTCATCAGTTTAGTTAAAAATGATCGACTCGTTCAATTTAGACAACTCTGACGACTTAAACGTTTTAGCCCCTTTTCTAGACCACATCTTTTATTTTACCGTTTCATCATTAACTCTCCTGTTTGAGCTAGAGTCTGCTTGATAACTAAATAACTTCATTTTCGCTTTAAAGTACTGAGACTTCTAAGAGACCTGACCAACAGCGGACTTCCCCTCCTGTAATTATCCGCCCAGGTGCAGCAGGTGTCCCGAACAACACGAACCGGCTCACCTTGTAGACATTCTCCGTAATGCGGTGCACCTCGTCGGTCCGGGACATCCTTGCTGGAGCGTCAGTCACAACCATATACGGAGCTCTCTTTTCTGTGGAAGCTGTGGAGGGATTCTCGGTTCCTTTCCGAACTGTGGCGGGGGGACGAAGCAGCTGTTAGGCAGGGAAACGCGACTCTTGTCTGGGAGAGACGAGCGCGCCTGTCCGTGGGATCCCGGGTTTTATAGGAGAGTCCTCCGCTTCGCCCACACCGGCTCCCCACGCAGCCAGTCAGCGGCCGCTCCGAGCCTCCCTGCAGGAGCGCAGAGGCGGACTCAGAGGCGCCGCCTTCAGGGCCGGTGGGAAAAATGAACTCCGGAGACGACAACTGAGAATGATGGGGGAGGAGGGGATACTCAGAGGAAGGTGTTTTACATATCATTACTTGGATTCTTCGTGACTGATTAAACTGATTTTATTTATTTAGTAACTTTTAATTAGTCCGCTTTCTAGTCAGATAGATTTTTAGTTTACTATCTTTGAACGCCCCGTAACCTTATAATGAAGATATCTTATTCGGATAAAATGGAAGACAAAAATTATATTACTTTATTTAAATAAACAAATAAATAAATCAGAACTTTACTAATTGATTTACATAAACATTTTATGTTGTCTAAGGGCTTTTCCTTGGCCAAGAGTGAGAAAACTGGGCTAAAAAAGTCTAATTTAAATTGAATAGTATGGACAGGGTAACATTTTTACTTATCAAAGTAAATAAAATAAAAATAAAAATAAACAGGTGGAAAAAAATAATTCCCAGTCTTCTGTCCCGTTTTTATTTAATCCCAGCAAAAAGGGAACTGAGTGTTGTTTTTAACCTCGTAGCTAGAAATTATGAATCACAACTGTTGCTGTGATATTTCTGTCTTTTCACTACGGAACATGTTGAAGCAGAAACAGACTGACGGGACTCCGCCATCTGAAGCTACGGCGCTGATATTTCCACCGATTATTCAGAGCCCAGAAATGCAGCACAGCATTGAGGGAAAGGCTCCTCCAGCTCTGCTGACACAGGCAGCCCACGCCTCCTCTGCTCCAACCATTCAGAAGAACCGTCCGGCATCACTGGGACAAGCCACACAAGCCCATTCACAGTGGAAACGTCCACTGAAACATCCACCGTGAGGCTCCTCTTAATTTTAAGGCTAATATCCTCCAGGATGGTAGATGATGCTCCACAGGACACAGCAGGAGGGTTGAAATGACTCTCCTCCAGGATGTTGGTGTGGAGTGTTTAAAAACACTTCTTTCAACTCACTCACATTTTATCGCTTGCTAAATTTGTCCGCTGCTGAGGGGGCTCTGGTGGATATGAGTGGGATGGGAGCCACTTTTCTGCTGGATTTCAGATCCGCTCCAGGTGGGCAGGGAATCCCACACATCTCGGCTCGTCACGATCTGCAGCCCTGTGAATGGAAAGAGGCTCGCCGTGAAAAAGGGGGAGGACGGACGGCCTCTTATTTTGGGCAACTCTTTTCTGCCTTGGTATAAAGACAGCTGCCCCGAGGCCGCCGCTGAGGGTTAAATAATAAAGCGGAGCGGTAACTCGCAGCAGGAAGACACTCATTTTGTTCTGATTGTCACGTCAGATGTAGTTCCAGCAGGCCGCAGACGGTTAGTGGAAATCAATGAGGCGTGTTTGGTCTCAGCTGGAGCAACAGAAACATTCCCACTGTCAGCGGGCCAATCGATTTACTCCTCTGTCAGGATTCAATCCCTGCAATTAGCTCCTATAATGGGCCTAAAACATACATCCAGGTTTGTGTCAGACACCACACTGTGAAGCGTGATTATAAGGAAATGAGTCTGTCTGCTGACTGATAATTATTCTGGGACTCAAGTCAGCCTTATAATCACACACAGCCCTGAGAAGAAGAAAAAATAGAGCATGACTTTAAATATTGAGTCCTTTCAAAACAACTGTTTACACACCAGTTTGGTGAAATCTTGGGAAGAGAAAGTGCTTTATTGTAGACAAAGTAGGAGCTCCGTACATGCTGTAAAGCATGGTGGCGGTAGCATCATGCTGAGGCTCTGTTTTCCAGCCAGTGGTGGTTCAACTTCCTCTTTCATTTACAGAATAAGGATCTAAACAGAATAAAGGATCAAGCAGGATAACATCAGGCTTCAGGAACGTCTCCACCATCAACCCTGATGAAAACTTATGGACTATGATTGAGTCAGATCTCTGACAGGAAGTCAGCCAGATTAAAACCACAGGACCGTTTCTGATTAAACGAATGGGGACCGATCCAGACAGAATGACGCCAGATTCTTGTTGATGTCAGCATAGTGCATGTGGCATCTCGTAGTTAAACCGCAGGTCAATATTACAGTCTGTATAATTATAATGATCATGAAAAATGAGTTAAAGTACAGGTTAAATCCAATCTGTTGAAGTGGCATCACTAAAGATGTTTATTGTAGTCGTCCCCAAAAAAGAACAGTCAAAAAATGTACAAATAAAAGCCTAGAAATATTACATTAAATATTCATGATGAGTACAGTCATATTCAATCAATTAAAAATATCAACAAGTAAATATATTTCTGTAATTCAGTAAGTGAATCTCATTACACGGACTGATGTTTTCAAGCTCTTATTTCTGTTAAAACCAAAACATGAACTCAATGAACATTTCTTTTGATTCCTGCTTAAAGGTTATTTTCAAAAGGTACTTTTAATCTCACAACCCTCATTGGAATATTTTTTTAACTTCCAGAAACAACGTTGTTGCTTAATTCCCCAAACATCTCACCTTTTTATTCTCTGCGCGTTGGAGCAACGGCGTCTCACAGTAAAAAGGTCCAGGGGTCAAATGTCATTCAGAAACTTTGCTGTGTTGAGTGAGTCTGTGTGTTTTCCTTGCACAAAAAGCTTCCTTCCACAGTCCGAAAACATACATGTTAGGATATGTTTCCTCCTTAAAATTATGTCTGTACAAATATAATTGTTGTGCATCCAGGACAAATATCACAGCTCTTTATATCTTGGATAGGACATAAAATACCTTTCATTAGAGGATTTTTATAGATAATACTTTAGCTTTTTTCAAATGTATCTGAGCTTGAATTTACTTTTTTTTTTAATCAGTGGTACATGAGGTCTTGGTTCCCTTTGATTATTTTAATATGATGTGACACAGAGGCCAGTTTCTATTAGTCATTTCTTCAAAAATAGGAAATACACAAGAAAACATGCCATTCAATAAAGCATGAGTGTGCGTCAACCTTTATAGGTCAGAAAATGGCAACAAGAAAACAGCTCCTGGTCAAAGCTAAAAGCTACAGTCAGATAAATTATTAAAACAGTAAAAAAATAAAAAATAACTGGAACTGTGACGACAGAAGTTTAACTTCCATCACACACAGTGAGGACTGGGAGGGACATAAAAACATTTAGGAAGCCCCCCCCATTAAAGAGCTGCAGTAAAGACATTATTTTTGTTCTTATTGGCACTAGTTCCCTTTATTCATTAGCAGTTTGAGAGGAAGAAGGGCAAAGAGAAAACGGAAAGACATGAAATAAATCATTGAACCACATAAGATCATTTTTGGCTCCTTTTGGCGTTTCTAATGTCCAATGACTCAATAATTCCTTTTTTTGTTGTTTTTACAGAAACACGTTTCACAAACACCCATCCATCCGAGGAACATCTTAAGAAATATGGCTGGAAATGTCCTGGCCCAGAGTTTGGATCAGCACACTAAACAGTCAAATATGGAAATATAAGGCAAGCAGCAGAGAGAGTTTAGTTCAAAACAGTTTGGCTTCTTTGTGCTGGTTTAAGATTTTGCAACTTTTAAAGGTAGAACAAAACTTCCAAAATAGTTTGTGGATCGTCCCATTTCAGATAGTTTCTTGATTAACGTTTTGATTCCCGCTCACAGGAGCACAATCAGCACTCGGCGGTGTGTTTATGTAGGCAGGCCAACAGGTGGGCAGGCCACACACTCACTCACTCACTCACACACCTCCACATCTGAACCATCTCTCTGATTTAGCCTTCGTCTCCAGCCTACGCCTCCTCATCGCTCTCTGCGGCCCGTTCTCCCCGTGTCTGTGATTCATCAGCGCGGCGCTCTGACATTCAGGCTTCAGTCTGTGAGCCGCCCACTCCCACGCAGCGCCACGCAGGCTTGTAGAGCGCAGTCGGCTGTGGAGTGGATCCAGCCCATTCAGAACGAGGACGGCACTGAAGTGGACGTTAGTAACCCAGTAAACACGGGTCAGCCTATTTCAAGCCGGAATGACGCGGTGTTGTTACACAGGCTTTGTTGAAATTAAAAGGCACGAGGTTGCAGAACAATGGCTGCTTTTCTGTTTCCTTTATTAGGCCGATGCTTTTAAAGCACAACTAAATTTATAGAGGGAGGAGAAGCTCTGTGACACGAAATATTTATGTATACAGATATAAAAACAGGATTTTATGGCAGTTCGAGGCAAGTCCTCTCTGATTAGGCGACATAAAATATCAAATCGTCAGCAAATCCTCAGAAAAAGCTGGTCCTGTGTGAAGTTTAATGTAGTTGTTTTGTATCAAACTAGAAAGTTAGCTTTGTGAATCTTAATAAAACAGGACAAATACAAGAGGGAACAAGGTGGGAGGAATATGTTACCTCAAATTTTAACATTTCTCTAATTGCTTAAGTGACCTCAAGCCAATAAATAGAAATAGAAATCCTCTAAGATGATACTGAATTTGGTCTCTGCTGTTTTTCACCCAGCTGTTCATCTCAGGATCTGATTCAAAAAAACAAACAGCACTAATGATACACAGGCGCAAAACCCTGTCATTTTCAACAGGCAATTTTCTTTCTTTTTTTTTTTCTTTACTTTTATAGTTACATTGACTGTTTGAAGTGGGTTTCTGTACAGTCATTAGTAACAGTTCCCTTATCCAAAGCAGAAAGATGTAATGTCACCATCGATTTGTCGGAAAACTAAGAACATCTAGCAAGGTTATGCTAGCAGTGAGTTACCGATAGCTTAAACTTTTGCCCGACAGAAAATTTCCATGTCAAGACAAAATTTAAAACCTGTGATTAACATATTACTTACTTTTAAAAATAAGATTAAGATATTTTAAGGCCCACATTTTAGTTGAATTGAATAATATCTACATGGTTAAGAAGTGTGTAACTTGTCCTGTCAACAGATCCTCCACCTGAGCTGTGGATCTGTGCAGCTCCTCCGGTGGAACCATAAACCTCTGGGCTGCTTCTCTTACCCAGGCAGTTGAGTTGAGCAGCCATGTCTTGGTAGGTTTCCAGTTGAAACTTGCCTCATAACTTCATCATAACTTTATTAATAACCATGATATATGAAATAAATTAAGGTGTAGTTTGTAGTTACAGTGTGAGAAGCTATGAATACTTTTATATAATGTATACAAGAAAAGAGAAAGATATTCACCTGTTTTCCTATTCTCCGTTTGTTAACTGCTGCCACCTTGTGTTCACTCACTGAATAACATCTGACATGATGCAACATTTAACAATAAAAACACTTTTTATTGTAAAAACAATGTACAGAAATCCCCAAACAAACTTTATAACATTTATTTCGATGCTGCTGTCGGACAGGATTAGTCGCCAGAGTTTAAAAGATTTACAGTTTTGTTCCACTGGCCTTCAAAGATATTCGACCGTCGACCTCGTGGATACAAACCAAAAGTTCCTGCTGCAGATCCAAGTATGGGTTATACACAACAAATGATTACAGAAGACTCTGTGGTTGCAGATTACATCACATGAGATAGGCCCGGCCTTTTCCCACTGAGGCTGAGCTAATCCACGAGGGGAATAGGAGTTAGATTAGGTAATCTGCTTGTGGAGTGTCAGACTTTGAAGGATGGATGCAGACGGTTTTTAGGAGAAATTTCTTGTTTTGCCATCCAGGGATCAAAAGATCACTTCACCCATAGACATGTTTAAGATCAAAAATCTTGAATATGATTTTTCTTTTTATGGCTTTTGAGGTTTTTATTTAATTTAATTTTTTTTTTTTTTATGTCCAAAGCCGCAGATACAAAGTTCATACATTTGTCAATACTTTGGATGAAACGATCCTCTCCGAACTCGACTCTGATCCACAGATTATTTAGGGAGATTAAACTAGTTACATACAGTATACATGCTCTGGATTACTTAAAAATGATTTCATAGTAAACATGATGCACTGCTTACACTAAAGTTAGGCACAATTATGTGATTTCACAGGTCTTTGCGGTTCACAAGGCGCTGCAGGTGAACCGGTCCTTCCTTTTAGAACTGACCTGCGGCAGATGAACACAACCGGTCATCAGACTGGTTACCCGAGAGCAGCCGGCGGGCCTGTACGGTAGAAAAACATCTGCAGCTGGACGTCTGCGGGGGCGTTGGTTTGTAACGGGGGTCAGTTCTGTTCCTACACGGCAAGCAGCTCTCGCTCCTGCTTCTTCCTGGGACGATCGTTCTCTGAAACTGAAGCACAACCGCACACGCTCAGCTGGGACGGAAACTGCTGTGGAGTGAGCAGAGAGGCTGTCTGGGTCAGGCTGACTGAACCACTGAGGTTTAAGGAAAGACAGGAACGGACCACTGGAACAGAACGTGTGTAAAGATTGTTTTTTAACACACACACCTGCTGCCAAGTCCATGTATGAAAGAGCAACCATGGTTTTGTATCTGACCTGGTTCAGCAGTTGCTTCTCTGAGGTTACTGCTGTTGTCTTTTCACACTTGCATTGTGTTAACTAGTGAACTGACCAATATTACTATTTTTTTTGTGTGTTTTTATTCCTGAAATTGTCTCATAAATCTTCCTAAACTGATAAGCAGCAACATTTGATAGTCTAAGATCATTGCTAAAGTCTTTTATTAAATCCATGCAGGGTGGATTTAATAAGATATTAACAACAAGTGTTTTTAAATTAAATTCAAGACTTAATACCTTGTTAAATCCACCTTGAATTAAATTTAAGACCATAAAAACTATAAGTATAGGGAATGGTTGGGGGGGATCTTGTTGCACTAAAATCAAGCATAGTAAACACTGAGATTTCTGGGGTCTGTTTGTGGCTATTTCCACAAACGGACGCTGTTTGTGCTTTTTGCACCGCTGATAGTTCTCTACGTTCATAACCTCAATAGTGCCTTGATTAAAAGTAATTTTGCACAGAAGGACCTTGGCAACAGAAGTGAGACAATGGCAAAAACAAACATCGCCAAGTCAAATGGTGATAAATCTGCTGCACTTACCCGAGATAGAGCAAAAAGCACTAGCTAGCTAGCAAGGGTGAATTAGCAGCTTGTTAGCTCCTCAAACACCTCCAGTCACAAAATGCAATGAAGACGTCTGCGTGACTCAAAACTTTTGACCTGATCTGAAATGGTCTTACACCTCTATTCCGTACTGATGGGCATCAACAGTCGCATCTCTTACGTCGTTGCTGATGTACTTCTGCTTTTGTGTTGCCACTCACCTGACTAATAAACTACCAAACACTTTGCTTTCATGGTGTCGAGAACATCAGTGAGATTAAAACGTAGAACTGACAGATTCTGCTAACAAACCGAGTGAAACGACAGACCTGGTTTCTTCTTGGCAGCTTCAGGGGCTTCCGGCAGCGGCTCTGAAGGAACCTCTGGAAGCTCGACGTCTCCCTGAGAGAATCGGATCAGAACGGCGATGATGAGCATCGACCTGCCTTCAGGTCATGGAACATTTTCTCTCCAAGTTTTATTTCAATCTGACCTGAGTGATGGCCTCCAGCTCAGCCAGAACAGCATCCTCGTCCTCCTGCGTCAAGGAACCGGCCAGCATCTCGTCGATTTGCTGCACGGAGACAAAAATACGTTAAGAGAGGGAATAAATCCAACTTGCTCCAGGTGTGTGAATGGTCACGTTAGCAAAAAAACTGACCCTCTGGTACTCGATGGAATCTTGCGTTTCATCCAAGATCCTCTCCACCTCTTCAATCGACATCATCTGTTGGAGGGGGGGAAAAAATCACAGCCTCATCAGGCCTCCAATAAAACCTGGGACCAGACCTTTAAACGCATCGAACGTCCCCCACCTCATGCATTTTCTTCAGACAATCGTTTCCAACTTTCAAGCCGTCAATGACCTTCCTCTCAATCTGAGCAAACTCCAGGTCCTGGACCTGAAGCGAGCAGGAAGCAGAAGAGTCAGAGTCGTGTCGGCTGTCGCCAAAGAAACGCCGCCGCCGCCGTCACTCACCATCCGCTCCAGGTTGCTGATCTGGTTCTCTGTCTTGTCCAGGAGCTGCTCCTGGTATCGCTTCTTCTTCAGCAGGAGGAGGGCTTTCCTGTTGGTTTGGAGAGGAAGTATAAAGCAAAGCCAGTGATCAGACACAGAGCCGCTGCTGAAAGTATTACACTTTTCAACTGAGGGTTAAATTACACAGCACTGAAGAAAATCATCCTCTGGGACGTCAACATCACAGTAGTTTGTCAGATTAGAGGCTGAAGCAGCATGAAGACCCACAAGTCCATGTTCAGATACAGATTTTTTTTTTTTTTTTTTGCCATCATCACTTTAGTAAATATTGATATCTGATCTGACATTTTGGCCTAGGGCTCTAATGAAATTTTCTTTCATTTCACTCAGAAGCTCAGAAAGAGCAAAAGATTTTCATTCTGAAATGTTGAGAAATTTTATTTTGTCCGTAGACGGCAGCCCATTTTATCTGCAGGTTCACATTTAGAAGCTCACACCCTGACACATTAGAGGTTAAAACCTGACAACTGCAGATGAAACAAAAAAGCTGCCTGCTTTTTGCACTTAAAGATGTCCGACTGAAGTTTGACTTTTGTTCATCTTTTAGAACAATACAATAAGAGAAGCTAAAAAGCAAGTTTAATACATTTATTGATTTATTTCCACACTTATGGAAAAGTCTTAAAACAATTTCCATATAAGATTTAGCTTTAAAAGCCTTTCACCTTATTTGCCCTCATTTAATGGCCCATTAAAACCCACCTCATTTTACTTGTTTTGTTCCAAGCTCTATCAGCAATACAGTTGTCGAACTAATGCTTCAAAAGTCATCTTATATCCATCACAGCCTGTAAGAGTTACAAGAACATTTATCTCTAAGACTGTCTCTAAACAGGACTGGCTCTGCAACTTATTTCTTATCTGGAACAAAATGGATTGTTGATCATCTACAGTCAGGATTTGGAAGAATGCAGGTCCATGAAACCTGCTCCTGTTAGTACACAGCGATTCTCAGTTCACTCACTCTTTCTTCCCATCTTTAAGCAGCTGTTTGGCCAGCTGTCTCTCCTTCTCCAGCTGCAGGTTGATCTTCTTCTGATACTGCCTCAGTTTGTCTCTCTGCTGCTTCAGTTGCTGCGGAAACGAAACTAACAAGTTTCAGCTCACAGATAAACGTCAAAGTTTCAGCTTTGACGATCTGTGTCAGATCTGTGATCCGACACAGATCTTTAACGAAATTAGAATACACAGCAGCAAACTACCCAGTAACAGCTTTCATATTTTCTTTCTGAGAGCACATATAAAAGCTAAAACTATATCAGTTTTAGGTTATGTTCTTCATACAGTCAGGCCGAATTCACAACAAGTTCATAAAAAGTGAAAAAACGAGGGCTAAACTGTTTCAGATATCCGTGAGCTAGTCCAAAAACATAAAGTTTAGCAAATTACTAGATTGATTCGTAGAGTTTGGTGAGACGCTAAGTGACGTTAGCCCGCTGCTAATCTGAGTTAATTCTCACCAGGATGGCTTTATCTTGCTCCGTCACCCGGGACTGTTTTTTTTTTCCAAACAGGTTTCCCATCCTGACACAGCATTCCAGCTCCAGAAACTGGGAAATTAAAGTCTGAGTCAAAAAAAACCAAACTGTTTTCTAAAAGCAGAGAAGATTTTCCTCCATTATTGCTGAAGTCATCCAGTCCACACCCACACCAGGAAGAGCCGAGGCTGGGCGGAGACAAACTTTTAAAAGAGACACTTGCATTAGATGAAACTTTGAACTCACGTAAAATATATTTATCAAATAAAGATTTATTTTTAATTCAACACTGTTTTTTCGACGACAGAAGATTTCTGCGAATCTCTAAAGTGTATTTATTTGTTGCTTATTTAAAAAACAACAAAAAGCTGTTCGCTGCCATCTGGTGGATAAACCAGAAAATTGCAGTTCAACGGAGAGCGAGACAATCTACCACGCTACCTGTGTATCCATTCAAAATAGAGTAAAACAAATGCTTTTTGGCTTAAAATGTGCTGAAATTGCCCTTGTTGAAGCCTCACAAGTCAAATAAAGGTTTTACAATCACAAACTATATTTAAATACTATGATATTAGTATTAAGTTAGAAGAGTCGGTGTTAAGAGTTTTGGAGCTGTAATGTGGTAGATGTAAAAATATCTATGGCCTTTTATTGACGTTTCACAAATCAAAGATGGTTTTAGATATTCTGCAATCTGTGTAGAATAATCAAGACCATATTAGAAGTGCCTACGTATTTTAGTTTTTAACCAAAACAGATTAAAGATGCCCAGGGTAGTGAAAAAGTAGGAGGCATTATCCTCTAGGCTGCCATGTCATTTTATGCTGCTTATTGATTTTCCCAGCGAATAAAACTGAGACGTCGACAAGCTAACATCAAAATGTCCAAGAAAAGAAAAATCGATTTACAAGTAAGACTGTGAATGAAGATGTGTGTGAGTTGGTTTCAGGGCGGTAGGTGGCGCTAGACTTTTTTTGTTATCCGTTATCTTGACCGACAACATTAAAAAATCGGTCATGTACTATTTTTATCCGTGAAATTACAATCAAATTTAATTTATTTATAACAATGTATTTTTATACATTTATGCTAGGGGTGCCCAAGTCTAGTTTTCCAGAGCTACCATCTGCAACTTTAGATGCATTCCTTCTCTAACACACCTGGACCATTGACTCATTATAAGCCTCTACAGAACTGAATGAGGGAAGTCAACCTTTTGTCTGGGGTGTGTTTTAGCAGGGATGCACTCCTGAATTGTACCGTCAATGTGGCCCGTTGAGGGGGGCCAATATGCTGAAGTGGCCCTCGGTGAAATTGAGTTTGACGCCCCTGCTCTAGGCACTTCCCTAATCAGAATAAGCCAACTTCAGCTTCGACTGAGAGTTCACGTTTTCCCAGACAATGCAGAAGAAAAATGACAATGCAAATAAAAAAAACTTTCTTCACTGTCAGTAACATTTTTATACTTCAGCTAGTGGTACATGAATATATAATCACAAGATTGTTATCCATGATGAGTTGTTGTACCCATATTATTTTAATTTAGTAAAAAAATAAAATAAAAACGAGGCATATCTATATATCCACATTAAGGCAAAAACTCCACAAAAAAAGAGCTCAAGACAAATCTAAAAACAATTTACAATAGATACATTTATAAATGTACAAATGGCTTGTTTATGTTGAAAAATGTTTTCCAAAGTTCCAGACAGAACCACGTTTTCTACAAGGAGGCAAGGATTTGTCCAACTAATTCTTTAAAAAAAAATTTACTTTTCTAAAACGTTATGGTGCAAATTATTTATCATGTCAGTTCGGACAAAACTGGTTTGCTCGAGAGAATTTTATATTCAGAAAAGTATTTCACTCCTTTTAAACTTTACAGTTACAGTTATTCTGCATTATCAAAAGACACAATGAAATAAAATACATAACATAGTTGTTTTAAGGAAATTAAGTGAAATAATTTCATATTTGTAGCTGTGTGATAGTTCCTCCACCATCTCTGCCACAAAGCTTTGGTTAAGATATTTCTACAGATTCTTAAAGTTCACTGATCTGGAATGGTCAACAGAGGTACAGAGCCTACATCCACTCAGAATGAAATAATATTTGTAGATATCTGGAGAGTTTAGGACATTTTATTCCAGTTTCCAAACTCTCCCATTGTGTCCAACTTTGTTTTAGATCCATTTCTGCTGCAACACACCTCACTTAAATGGCTGAATTACCTTTGTAGCATGTCAAAGTTCTGCTGAGGATGATTATAATTTGAACCAGGTATACTGAAGCAAAACAAGACCAAAAGCCTGGGGGACAAAGTGCTCCAGGAGCAGTTCCACACCTCTGATCTGAATTCTGCAGTTTATTGTGAACAGGTCAACACTCAAAGAGCATATTTTTGCAGACATTCAGTTTTACTAAGTTCTATAGAGTTTAATCAGGTTATTTTAAGTAACAAAAAGCACCACAAACATGTCAAATATATTTGAAAAAACAAAACCTATAACAATCACTGTTATAGTAATGGCATTTTTGATATTTTACCTCCTTTCTAGTAGCCAGTTTACAAAGGGAAACCACAGTTATGCTCAGCTTGCTCTATAGTACAAATATCAGGCTGAGTTCAGATACACTAAACAGGCATGTGTTGAAGGGGTTTAAGACCTTTTGGGTATCTTTTTCTAAGAAATTTTGTGTCCCAGAAAGTTACAGTATGGCTCAGTTCCATTTTTAATTACAAATATCAGGTACCAAACCCTCCAGTATGGCGTAGGCCAATTCTTCACCCTATACAGGATTTCTACAGGTTACACCAACTCAAATTTAAGACTTTATAAGACTTTTTAAAGACCATTATGAATGGGATTTAAGAACAGTATCACAACAGAAATATACAAATAAACAAACTGTATGACGTGGCAATTGAAGTGTGTAAATGGCAAAGACAAACATTTGCACTTTGCACATATGAAAGCTAGCTTCCTTTATCCTTGCTTAACAGCAAGGGTATATTAGCAGCTAGTTAGTGGCAACCACCTTGACTCACAGACTCAAAGTTTTGCATAATAGTAAAGTCCCACAAGAAAACGGAAAACTACTTAGAATATATGAGATTAAACAGTCTTGACCCAAGAAAAGTTAAGACATGTGATTAACATATTTAAGGCCAACTTTCTGTTTTTCAATGAATTTAATACAATTTGAGGCCTTCATTTTAGATACATTAATTTAAGACTTTTTAAGGATGTGCGAACAACCTGCTATTGTGTGAAGTTTGGTGCGTATCTGCAAATCAACACAGTAATCCCGTCATCTGTCAAGCATGAGACATCATGTGTGTTGTAACATAGGATTTCTTTGTGAACTTTTTACCACAGATTTCACATCCAAACGGTTTTTCTCCTGTGTGAACTCTCATGTGCGCCTTCAAATGGATCCTCTGCAGAAAGCTCTTGCTACAAACATCGCAGCTGAAAGGTCTTTCTCCATTGTGAATCCTCATGTGTTTCAGAAGACCACCCTTGACTAAAAAGCCTTTCCCGCACAGCTCACAGTTGTGCGCTCTTTTTCCACCGTGAGACATCATGTGCGTTTTAACATACGACTTCTTTTTGAATTTCTTACCGCACACGTCACAGCCAAATGGCTTTTCCCCTGTGTGGACCTTCATGTGTTCTTTCAGGTGTATCTTCTGTTGAAAGTCTTTACCGCAGTCGCTACAAACAAATGTCTTTTCCCCCGTGTGAACACCCGTGTGTCTCTTCAGAGTTTCTTGTTGAGAAAATCCTTTACTACAGACGACACAGACAAACGGCTTCTCTCCGGTGTGAACAACCATGTGCTTTTTCAGAATGTGCTGAAATCGGAATCTTTTTTCGCACACGGTGCATTTGAACTGTTTCTCCCCAGAGTGGACTCTCATGTGCACTGTGAGGATTGACTTTTTGTGAAACCTTCTTCCACATTCATCACATGCAAAAGGTCGCTCACCGGTATGGAGTCTTATGTGCGCCTGAAGATCCGTCTTTTCTATAAACCCTTTCCCACAGAAATCACAGCTGTGCGCCGTTTTCCCGCTGTGAATCATCTTGTGTTTTCGCAAACAGTCCTTCCGCCTGAATCTTTTCTCACAAACATCACAACCAAATGGCTTCTCGCCGGTGTGGATCCTAGCATGATCTGTAAGATTGTCCCGCTTTTTAAATCTTTTATCACATGTATTGCACACAAACACTTCTCCTGCCACGACGGAATTACATTTCTCTTCACCGTTTACATTTGACTGAGATACATTGAGGACACTCTCACAATTGTGACTCATTTTAGTTTCAGACTCAGAATCTGACAAAGGTCCCTGCCAGTCCTCATCATTATCATCATTACTGGCTTCTGTCTCAGAGGTGTCTGAAGCATTTTTATTTGGATTTTGCTCAAAGCTACATGCTGGATTCAGGTTCCTGTCTGGTTCTGTTCTTACACTATCCTCGCTATGGAGTTCTGTTTTTATCTGTTGAGCTGAGCTGCTGATTGGAGCTTCAGTCTCTCTGCTTTCTTCAGTTTTGATCTGATGAAGCTCTAATAACTGAGGTTTCTCTTCGTAACCTTCATTCTTCACTGTGACAACAGTTAAAGGGAACCTGCTGATATTAGTCTCTTTCTGCTCATTAGGCCGCTCTTCCTCCTGATTGGTCCAGACTTCCTCCTCCTCCTCCTTTATGTGGAAGGCCTCTGGATGCTGCTGCTGGGAACTGGAGCTCCAGGCATGGAGAACCTCTTTTTTAACACCCAGCATCCGAAGAACAGGGAACACTGAAATGTACATGGACAATGATGATTACTTACATATTTGACAGTGTTTGAGAAATATCAAATTCTGTTTCTATTCTTATGTTTTCATAGCAACATAAACACCAGGTTGCTATATAAATATTTTCCACCGGTGCCCCCCTCCCACACTCGTCTCGCAATTTCAATAGGACTGAAAGGAACAATATTTATCTCACCAACATAAAACCTTCATGGTTAAACAAACAAACTGAACAAGAAGTTTGCACTTTAGTGAACTTATAAGAGCACTAGTTAAGTCCTCAGAAACATTTTCTGAATTTTAAGCCTTAAGCTGGTTTTAATGCAGTACAAATAGTTTTTTCCCCACTCTGAACGTCTGTATTTCCCTTCCCAATATGGCGGATACGTTGCCATATAGCTGTAACCGTAACTGCCAAGGAAGCGTCAAGCTAAGAAGAGAGAACAACCGAACCTCAGTTAAACTAGCTTTACTTTCGCAGAGCTTCTTCTTACCAGCTGTTTGATTTCCACCAACTTCCTGCGGCAGATGGGCACCGAGCTGTTTCGTTTGCACTTCATCTAATGGTCGACTTTCAGATCTGTGCTGATCAGCATAATCCACTTCCTCCATGGTGTCCCCGCAATCAGTAAAAACAAACCAACATAATCCACACGCGAACCAAGTTTCACACGAACCAAGCCGATCAACTCAGATTGCAATTAGGTACAATTCTGTCTCGATCCACCGAAGTATTGACGACAAAAAAATATGTCCCCGCAAACCATGGATCACTGATGGATTTTGATCAGGCACCGTTACAGACACACTCTAGGTTTGCGTCCTACGTGTCCCATTGCTGCCATCTGCTGGATATACCTGCTCCTACAACAACAAGTCAGTAATTTTCTTCATCGGGATCGACTGAAAATGAGAGAAAGAAGCTAAAGGTCAAAGAAAAAAATTGAAAGACATTAGGACAAGAAAGTCTGGTTGACTTAAGTGAAACTAGGATAGGATCAAGACTAATTGAACAGTGATAACTTGGGACTAATTGGCATGGAATTCTCATACCATACCAGAGAATAGTATTTTCACCACAATGCAAATTGTTTTTGTCAATGCGGCAGCATAACGTAATAGCAGTGGTTACTAAATATGTGATTCTTTCTGTCCTTGCACGTAGCATTGTGCTTAACCTGAACTGGACTGAACTCTGTGGGCAGGAGCCCATTTTTTGTGCTCATTAACCTTTTTTTCCCCCCTTGTGGGATTCCCCTGGCAATTTAGCAGTTTTGGAAAGAAATTTACAGCCAGATTATCACTAAATGTGACATTAGTTATATTTTTAAAACGACACAATAATGAAAAATTAGATAAGACAAATTTAGTATATATTAGTAAATTAAGATGTCCCTAATTATATTTTGACTGGACAAAATACCTATTTAAGGTATGTCTAATTACATTCTGACAAGTGTGATGTCAGAATTTTTTAAACACTATAAGATGATTATAACAAGATAATTTCATGGTATAACCATGGTCATTTCAGTAGTTTTTATTTATGCTCAGAGTCAATTGTACCATTCATCTCTATCTTATCTTATGAAAGAGGCAACCACAATAAAGATTTATCTTAGCATTATTGTCGGAGGCGCAGGCTATTCTCTGCAAAGTGAATGTGTTACATTTGTGCATCAATAACCCTAGTTGAAGGAGCAAGATACCCATATATGAGCCCTGCATCATTAAATTAATTTAAACTTTGGAATGGTGATTCTGATATTTATACAAATCAGTTGTTCAAAAGCATACAAAAATAAGCACAGCTCAATAGGAGTTTACGGTTTTTAATCACTGATGTCAATAGTATCACCAACGTTTTTCCATAAATAAATAGTCAAAACACAGGAACACGGTTCTAAAAGCAAGAGATTAGAGACATCTTAAAGACATGCAGAACACTGACCACTGATTGATCATTTCTCTGTTGCGTGGCTTAACATGTGAGTCAGAAGGTGGTGCTTTAGCTTAAATTTTCCATCGCAAACATTACAGGCAAACGCTCTCGCTCCTGTGTGGATCAACATGTGTCGTCTTAAGTGGATCTTCTGCAGGAAACTTTTCCCACACTCGCTACAGCCGAATGTTTTGTCTCCAGTGTGAACGCCGATGTGCAGCTTAAGATGTTCTTTTCGTGAGAAGCCTTTGCTACAAATGCTGCAAACAAACTGCTTGTCGCGGCTGTGGACGCTCATGTGCTGCTTCAGGTTTCCTTGTCGTGAAAACCCCTTATTACAAACGCTACAGGCGAAAGGTTTCTCCCCCAAGTGGACTCTCATGTGCAGGTCGAGGTTTGTTTTCCTCCGGAAGGTTTTGCCACAAACATTGCAGGAAAACGGTCGCTCTCCAGTGTGAGTTCTCATGTGGTCCTTGAGGTAATACTTTACACTAAACGATTTACCACAAAGATCACAAACCGTTGGTTTTTCCCCAGAGTGGAACATCATGTGGACTTTAAGGTGTGACTTCTGATTAAAACCTTTGCCACAGTCGTCACAAGCGAATGGTTTCTCTGAACTGTGGAGTCTCATGTGAGTCTGAAGTTGACTCTTCTTAATAAACCCTTTACCGCACTGATCGCAGGTATGGGGTTTCTTTCCAGAGTGCATCATAATGTGTCTTTGAGCGTAGTACTTACTTTTGAATCGTTTGCCGCAAATCTCACAACTAAATTGTTTGTCACCGGCATGTACCAACAGGTGTAACTGAAGACTGTCTTTACAATTACAGTTTTTTCCATTTTTATCACATTTCGACTGGCTTCCCTCACCGATGAGTCTGGAGTGTGAATCGATGTTTTGTTTGACTTTCAGACATTTCTCATTTAAAGAGCTCGAACACCTTTTTCCTACCTGACTCTTCATGTGTCTCTGAAGAGACTGCTTGGAGATAAAGTGTTTGCCACACTCAGAGCAGCCGAAGCATTTTTTGCCAGTGCTACGTTTCTTATCATTGCTTATGTCTGACTGAGAAGCTATTCTCTCATGGCTTTTCAGACAATCTTTACTTCTAGATTCATAACCTGAAAAAGGTCCCTGCCAATCACCATCCTCCTCAGCCTCACTGACTTCAGTCCCAGATGAATCCAAAGCATTTTCATCCATATCTGGATCAGAGTTCACCTCTGGTTCTAATCCTCCATCAGGTTCTGCTTCCCTCTGTTCAACAGTCATGCTAGGTGAAGTTTCTGTGTCCATGTTCTCCTCAATTTTGATGCAATCATTGTCTGACAACTGAGGTTTCTCTTCATCATATTCACTCTTCACACTAACAGCAATGAAATCTGTCTCTTCCTTCTCATCAAGCTGCTCTTCCTCCTGAGAGCTCCAGAGTTCATCGTCTTTCTCCTTTTTGTGAGGGGATTCTTGGTCCAAACTGCAGTTCCGCAGATCAGGAACCTCTTCTTTAATTACCAAGAGCAGCTGATCAGTAGACACTGAAACACATATAGACATCAAAGAAAACTGTAAGGCAGTTTTAACTGTGCAAAATAAATAAATACAATTTATAATATTATATTTTTAAGTAAGTTCCTGACAGCCCTAATATGTTTTGTCATTTCCACATTTTGATGTGTAAAAAATTAAAGTAATCTACTTAGGTTATTTTTCCTTTGGTGAAAAGGGCACAAGTGGCGGTGCATACAAACCTAACCATAAATGGTTGTTTTAGTTGCACCCTTCAGTGATCTTCTAAATTAGTTAGAGATTATCATTAAAATAACCAAGCTTTGATGTTTGTTACATGTGTGAGATTGGTTTATTTTTACATCCTGATGCTCTGACCTTCCAATTGTAGTATTCAGCCTCATGATGTACACTGCCTCTGCTGTAATGTCTGCTGAGATATTTACCGATGTAATCGTTACTGTTTCTTTCTGCAGTCCCTTTTTTTTACTTCCACTCAGAATAACTTTGCTCCAATTCATACACTTACTGGGATCTTTGTCGTCTTGTGTCTTCTCCAGTTCTGATGTGGATCCTGCAGGCATGGGAGGCTCCAAGCTGAACCCTCCAGGTTCATCTCCTTCAACCTTCATCACCTCAGTCATCCTCAATCCACTTGGGATTCTCTTTTTCACTAATCACAACCTTCACGTCATCAGGGATTCAGCCATATTATCCAGATCTTCTGTTATTCTGCTACTAAAACAGAAGTCAGCCATAAATCACCTTCTGACCAAATAAAGTGTATTAACAGAAAATGTCGACGGTAACAGAGCTGAAGCGAGTCTGATACCTTGGTTAGTAGTTCTGGATCCACTCTGTCTTCAGTCTTTCTGTCCTCAGTTAGACAAGCTTAGAGAAGGTGTCCACAGACGGTATGGTCTTCCTCCTACAGGCTAACAAACTGTATGTTACGTGAACTTTTAATAGCTTCACTTGATTAAGTTTCTCCTGTTAGTTGCTTTAGCTCCAGGTTGACTGACAGTATGTTCACTTCACTAATTAAGAATAATTATATTCTGTACTAGGAACTTCGGCA